TGGGGCAGGATTTCTGGAGAAGTCACACGCCCTTCTAACCCACTGTGAGGACCTCATTGCTGGGGAGGGGGTGGACCATGAACCTCAGCACACCGTGCAGTCACAGTGCCTTTCCTGGGTGCAGTGGGTGTGGAAGGCCAGGCCTGGGCTCTGTGGTAGGGCTGGCACTTTAATCACATTGTGGCAAGAGTGGTAAGAAGGCCTGGGGGTCGGCTGGCTTTTATCTATGGTTTAAAAAACTTCTAAAACAACCAAAACCCAAACCAAAAAACCATAAACAGGCTCAAATCAGCCCACTCTCAATTTCAGACGCTCTGTGGACGCCTAAAGCCTTCTTGACCACAGGAGGGCCTTTGGCCCCGGTGAGAACCGGCCCGGGGTTACTGCAGCTCTGGGTAATCTCCAGCTGCCTCAAGCTTCTGCTCAAAAGGACCAACTGTTCTCACAACTCTGACAACAGCCTTGCTCCAGCTCCCATTCCCAGCCACCTGCCACTCAAGTTTGAGTGGCACAGACCCCACATTCCCCTACTGCGGATCAGGGTGAGTTCTAGACCCATACTTCTGACCCACTGCATTAGTCCTCTTCTGGTTCCATGATCTGCTGTACAGGCTCAAGGACAGATGGGGATGCACTTTCCTTACATTTACCACCTTGTATAAAGGAGAACTAGTCCCTGAGGCAGCACTCAGGGCACATCTGGAGGGTCCCTATCATAGGACCATCTGCTCCAACCCAAGAGTTCTCCAAATCCCTTTGAGCAGGTTTCCATGGAGGTACACAGGCGGGACTATGGGACCCTTTGCCTGGGTGATGAGCTCAGTCCTCCAGGGCTTGAGGCCCAGGGTGGGGCTCTGGATAAGGTGGGCAGATCCTCTCAGGCACCAATTGGAAACCCCAAAGGTTTTGTGTGCTCTTGTGTCAGAAACCATGGCAAAGATCAAGTGTAAGTTTCATACACACACACACACACACACACACACTCACATACATATACATATTTTTGAAACTTTTCACATATATGTTGCAGTTGTGCAATCGTCCTTGGTGTCCCCAGGGGGCAGGCTCCTTGGATGCTGCATTTGCTTGTTCCATGGGTGCAGCATCTGCAGGAAGCCTAGGTGTGTCCTCGGGTGTGCTCACCTCTGGCTTTCCGAGAAGACCTGATATGACGTAAATGCTACGTAACCAGTGGTTACACCATATTGTTTGGGGAATGATGAAAGGAATAAAAAGCCCATACATGTTCAGTACAAACAGAGGGGCTTTTCCTGAATATTTTCTATCTGAGGTTGGTAGAATCTGTGTTGCAGATATGAAGGGCCAACTGTGTACTTGAAGAAGAACAGCCAGGCCTGGTGACGCATGCCTGTAATCCCAGTAACTGGGAAGGCTGAGCCAGGAGGATCACAAGTTCCAGGCCAGCCAGGGCAACTTAGCAAGACCCTGTCTCAAAATGAAAATTAAAAATTAAGAAGGGCTGCGGATGTGGCTCCATGGTTACTGCTCCTGGGTTCCATCCTCTGTGCCAAAAAAAAACAAAAAACAAGAACAAAACCTTACCCAAAGAGAAATTCCTGAAGTACTGCCACCCAGTTCTTCTACAAAATCCCCCAGAACAATCTCCAGGAAGCGCCCCCCTTCTCCACTCCTAGGTCCCCACAACCTTTGAGTGTCCCCAACTCCAGCCCTGTGTCACTGCTGGCCACCCACCCCTGCCATGGCTTGCTGTCTAGTGTCCCGCTGTCCTCGGGGGCCACGTGGACTGTGGGTGGTGGAAGCTACGGGCCATGGGGGAGGGCAGGACGGGGCAGCCCTGGGGGCTGGGGCAGATCAGGCCCAGGAGGGGCTGAAGTTTGCAGGGGAGCAGGCCAAGCTGTCACTGCCCTGCAGGCTTCAGGGACAGAAGCCTGGGGACAGGGACAGTGTGTGGGGGATGGGGGGGTGCTCAGGGAGTACAGAAGAAAAAAGCCTGGGTGGAAAGAATACTAACAGGGAGGGGGAAATTGCCACTTTTTTTTTAGGGAGAAAATGCCCTTTACTTGTTTATTTATTTTTGGTACCCAAGACTGAACCCATGAGTACTTAACTATTTATTTAATAAATTTATTTAATAAATAAATTTATTTAATAAATAAATTAAATATTTAATTTATTTATCTGTTTGTTTGTTTATTATTTTTAATTTAGAGACTGGGCCTCCCTAAGTTGCTGAGGCTGGCTTTGAATTTGCGATTCTCCTGCTGAGTCGCTGGGATTACAGGTGTGTGCCACCTGGCCCTGCTAATGGTAATTTTTTAGAAACGCTTCCAAAATACTTAAGGACCTTCACTCTATATGGGATCAGTTTTCATCAGCACAGGATTTCTTGGTCTAAATAATACTTTTGACAGTGAGATCCAAACAAATAAAAGGTGATTGTTTTCCTCTTCTCTCTCTCTTAAAAAATCTTTTGTTTTGCATCTACAAATTTGTAGATTTAAGATTTCTTACATAATAATTGGCAACATAGCATCTTTCCCCAAAATATACATTAAAATATATTATAGAAGATTTTAACCCTGTCCATGGATTTTTTTTTTAATTTTTGTTGTAGTTGGATGCAATACCTTTATTTTATTTATTTATTTTTATGTGGTGCTGAGGATTGAACCCAGGGCTTTGTATGTGCTAGGTCTAGAGTGCTCTCCGCTGAGCCACAACCCCAACCCTCTCTGTGGATTTTTAAATAACTCCTCCTAGCTAATTTTTTAACAAGATGAAAACTGTTTCTTTAAAAAGCAAAGAACTAATCAAAAGAATTCACAGTAACTGAAATTAAACATTTCATCTGGGTTGACCTAAATTTGTCTAAAACACTTAAATATATCTTTTCCCACTTTTTTTTTGCAGTAAAATATAGCTATAAGTGCCCCCAAAGATGCTAGTCTTCTTTAAGACATCTTTAAACTTTTTTATACCTAGAATATGCAAAACTTACGTTCTGCTGAAGGTTAGGTGAACTGCATTATTTTGAAACACAGGTAGCATAGTCTAGGTTCTCCACTGTGATACCCTTGTGTTAAAAAAATTAACTGAAGGAAAATATTTCTCTAATCTCATGTTGTCTTCATGTGTACACAGAAAGTTAAAAAATTTTAAATTTATCAACACAGATAGCCTGGGAATTTCAATGCTAAAGTAATCTGCTTTGGTGAAAAATATCTTGATTGACTGTCTACACCTATCCAATCAATCCCTACTATGCAAAGACTGGATGGTAGTGATTTCCATCTCCACTTACTCGTATGCATGGAGATAGCCCCTAAAAATTGGAGTTTCATCAGCATTTACTAGGTAAGATTCCATTTACAGAGGACCAGGAACAATTGCCTTATTTTAAGAGCAGTGGGATTTACTTATGAATATTTGGGGGTAGAATCTAATTTGTTCTATTTATGGAATCCTAAGCCATTTGGGGGAACTTTGGAAAAAGTATACTGATTAATTTGCATTGAAGCTATCTTCAGAAATAAATCTGCATGGATATACTCCTCAGCATTCTTTTTTTAACATAAAGGTATCTATGTGTTTTTTTTTTTTCTTTTTTCTTTTTTTTTTTTTTTAGCTGTAAAGAGGCACATTCCAATCCATTTAATGACATTCACCTCAAATGCTTTTTGAGTTTGGATTTATTTAAGGCAGGAGAACTAAAGCAATCCAGATGAGTGCCCTTTTTCCTGTATCAGTCCTGTGTGGGCAGAATTAGTGACACTATTCAGATGCCCTAGAGGACTCCAACAGGATCCACCAGGCACTTGTGTCTCGTAGAGTTTGGTTTTTACAAAAGGGCTTATTAGAACGGTTGATGTGTTTTGAATAAAAATGCTCTTTCTACCAAGTATAACTTAAGAATAAGTTCCAACTCTGGAAATAGAAATTTTTCAAAAGGGGAATGGATGTTTTCTCTTCAGCAGCTAAGAAAATATATGTAACAAACAACATATTGCAGACTTATACTTACAGGCGCATACACATATATTCTCTCACATATTCCTTCTCAATAACTGATTCTTGCCCCAATTTAGACATTAATTTATCAGAAAAAATGTCAGAGGTGGACATAAATCTATAGTTCCAGATTTTGGCCATTTTCAATTTCTCTATGCCTAAGGAAATATAACTCTGGCATGAAGACATTTTCGCAGTTGGTGTGTGTGACTGTGGGGAGAAACAGGAAGCCGACAAGGTAATCGACACTGGATTTGGCCCAGGGCACAAGAAAGGAATGTTGCCTTCACACGTGGCAGGATGCAATCCCCAAGAGCAGCACCCAGACAGCCACACGCGGGACTCGCAGGCGTGGCAGGTCAGAGTGTGCAAGGTCAGAGTGTGCATCAGACAACGGTGCAGATTAGCCACAGGGGAGCACTTAGAAAAACTTAAAGCATTTCTTTTGTTTTATGTCTTGGTTCAGGCATAACAGAATCTTTGGCCACATCTCATTGGTTCTGCTGACTACTACTGTCCTTTTACCATCTCCTTGAGCCTGGTGAAAACTCAGGGTTCCAAATTATGGTCACCTGGATAAAGAAGCACTTACTGGCATGTGTTTCACATAGAAATCACCAGCCTGTGAGGGGCTGGCGGAGAAGATCACCTTTGGGGCCTGCCCTGGAGCAGGGCACACACTGAGTGCACTGCTGACTTCAGAGGCCAGTGCTGCCTTCCTGCTGTCCCCACATGTAGGAAGAGATGGACCACAAGATCCCCAGCAGGGGTGCTCCAATCACAAGTACCCATCACAGTTCGGGTGTCCCAACCATGGAAAAACTGTGAGGGAACTAGATTTTGCCTTAATGCTTGGAAATTTTTCTTTAAATTCTGCTTGGTGGATCACAGCCAGAGCATGGCAAACGTCCCCTTCCTCCCCTCCCCCTTCCTCCCCTCCCCCTTCCTCCCCTCCGCCCTCCCCTCCTTCTTTCCTTTCATACCAGGGAGGGAACCCACTGAGCCATATCCCCAGCCGTTTTTGTGTTTTATTTTGAGACAGGGTTCTGCTAAATTGCTGAGTCTGGCTTTGAATTCACCATCCTCCTGCCTCAGCTGGGATTACAGGCGTGCATCACCACACCTGGCACGAACATCTTTTTATTCTGCGTCATGGCTCAAATCATGAAGGCATCCGTTGAGGTACAGGCTTTGTTGGGAGACACAGGCCTGGTGGCTTCTGGAGGTCCTTCTCCTTGTTGGTGCACAACTTCAGCTCACACTGTGTGAAGAGCAGCGAGGTGTTGAACATGGGCTAAAAGACAAAGCTGAATTACTTATCTATCTTGGCTTGTGAGATAGGAAAGTGCACTCTCTTGGGGCTTGTAGAATTCAGACTCATCTTTAGGACCAATGTTTGCAATTATGGTGTAATCAGACATCCTAAAGCATCAAAGCAGCACATTCATGGAGTCCTGCTTAATCGGTGAGCTACACATTCATCTTAAGTCCTGCTTGGTAGGTGAGCAGGCAGAGCTGGCCTCTGGTGTTGGATGTCAGGACAGTGCAACCTGGAGGCCACCATGGACCTGGAGAAGTGTCCCAGCTGCTCACAGGACCAAACCATGAAACTGCAACTTTTACTCTAAGAAGCTCCTTAAACACCCTCACCTTTACTTTCCATGCCTGTTTTCCTTAACATAAATTCCTAAATTCTTAAAAAGCCAAGCATCTTAGAGTATCGAGTCTAGATGATTCATGCTTACATACATTGCTGGCTTACACAAGCACTTTTTTCAGACTAAATAAAGCTAAGGGAAAATGCTGTTAAAGACTTATGATCCAGGTGTATGCCAAACGTCATCTATTAACTAGATGACCTAACCCAGACTCCCTGAAAGACCAGACCCCAGTCCATCAATAGGAGAGCTGAGCCCGCTGGAGGATGTCTCTCCCACATACTTCTCATGGCATTGTTTACCATATTTCCTCTAAAAGAAAGAGCCCAAGACCCCAAAGCACAGTTCACTCCTTCTGAGTGTGTGTCCCGCTCTACTGATGCTTTCCTGAAGAAATCTGCTTTCCTTTTTTAAAAAATCCTTTTTAATGCCTCTTTGACACTTCCTGAAATTCCTTCCAGGGTGAGGTGAGATCCCCTTCTCCCTTCTGGGGGACTTCTTGGACCTCTCTCCAGTGTCAATGGGCAGCTCTGCTGCTGGGAAGACACATCATCTGGTGCTGGTGGTGATTACTGGGAATGCTGGCTTCTTAAAAGACGTTGCTCTATGGGCCGGGGACGTGGCTCAAGCGGTAGCACGCTCGCCTGGCATGCGTGCGGCCCAGGTTTGATCCTCAGCACCACATACAAACAAAGATGTTGTGTCCGCCGAAAAACTAAAAAATAAATATTAAAAAAATTCTCTCCCTCCCTTACTCTCTCTTTAAAAAAAAAAAAGAAGTTACTCTGGGCCTCCCAAGTTCCAGCTCCCAGACCCCTCCCAGGCACAGGCCCCTGGATAATTTATGCCTCAAATGTAGATTCCTTATTATAGCACAACATCATACATAGCAATGGACATATTACATGAATTAAAATAGGAAATTTTCATAGTTTTCATTCCTAGAAGGATTTTTTTGAGGGGAGGGGTCTCTTTCAGTCTCTTGCTCTCTGGTGGTTGTTACTTTGTTTCTTTTTTATTTCTTTAAACACATAAGATGTAACTATTTCCAGCCTGATAATACCAGTGCTGCAGTTTTCCAGCTATGGCTGTGGCTGCACAGCCCAGTGGTTCTCACTCAGCAATTTTCTTGTGCTCTGTGACATTTTGGGCTGTGGATTCTCTGTGTTCTTTCAAAGCATTTGTGGGAAGTAGCTGAAACCAAACTTGTGTTTCTCCAGGGAACATTTGCGGTGATTCATTTATCAGATTGAGCCCTAGTTTTGTTACCTGGCAATCTGAGAAAGTCTTTAAGATTACTTTTATTTTTTTTTTTTTTAAGAAACCACATTATCTGTAATCGCCAATGTATGACGGATTGATTGTACACCAACACCTTCTCTGCAGTGTTCACAGGAAAGCACATTGTGTGGCTGACCACAAACACTGCTCTGCAGGATGTATTCTGTGGGCACTTAAAATTTTGCCCCTGAGCCTCTGTCACCCAGGAGTCAGGACAGTGGCCTCAACCCCTGCTGGGGCCCTTCCTAGACAAGGCTGCCCAGGAGGAAGCCAGGGTAGCTTGAGGGATATTCCACACTGGAGAAAGGGCTGTGCAGGCTTAGCCTTTCTCAACTAGAGCACCCTAGGGCTCTTAAGGTCCTAAGGCAGTTGCTTCTGCACCAGGCCAGGCAGGGGAGCTTAGGAAGACAATCCCAGCAGTTGGGGCCCTGCCCTCAGGGTGCTAGGAAATCAAGGATTAGTGAATTATCCAACTGGAGTAGAAGGGACCTAAGGAGGTGGGTGGTGACCACAGCCACTGTTGAATGCACTCTTTGCACTTCCAAAAATGACCTGGGTTTGGTCATTCTACTCTTAGGCCCTAGTGAAAATTCTTGATTTTATCAGGAGGGCACAGTGGAAAACCTGGGAGGGTTTAATTGGGGAGGTTGTGATTGACAGTTTATGAAGATCCCAGGTCCTTGCTCAGGGACTTCAAGGCTGCAAGGTATTAGGGACCCTCAGTGTGAAGCTCCCTGGCTGGCTCCTCCTTCACCTGCCCTTCAGCCTGGGGTCCTCCCTGCTCGGAGGGCCTCAGCTGCAGGCCCAGCCAGGCCTGACCTTGAGCGGCAGCCTGGCTAGGTCCACCAGGCTGCATCTGGAATGCTGGAGAAATCCCTGAATTTCCTGGGTTGGCCTGGAAGGAATCAGGTTACCTTCTGATCCGCAGACAGAGGGGCTCCCCCAGTAAGCAGAGCAGGGCCAGGGGCTGACTGGGGGGCCCCAGCAGACCTGTGGGCGGCATATGAGGGGAAGGCCGAGAAGGGCCTGACAGCTCCGGGGGATCTACCCAAGACCGGAGGCTGGGGGAAGAGGGGAGGCCTAGAGAAGGGACTGGTGGGGCTGGCCGCCACCAGGACGCCGGGCCGGGGCGGAGCGAGACTTGAGAGAAACGCGGGAGGCAAGAGGCGGAGAGCCAGGCCCCCGGTCTCGGTGGCTGGGGTGGGTGGGTGCACCTCGACCCGCAGGGGCAGATCCAGGCCCGGTGGGAGCAGGTCCAGGCGCCAATGAAGGCGCCCACCCCTGCTGGGCCGCAGAAGAGGTTCGCGGGGCCTCCGGGGGAGCCCTCCAACCCCGCCCCGTGTCCGCCCTCCCCGCCCCCTGCCCGCCCCCAAACCCACCCCGCCCCCTGCCCGCCCTCGCCTCCGCGCGCCATTGCCCGCGCCCTAAGGCCGCGCGTCCCCTCGCTCCTGGCCATGGCGGGCCTGGTGCTGCGCCCAGCCAAGGGCTACCGGGTAGTGCTGCTCGGCAGCATGGACGTGGGCAAGACCGCGCTGGCCACACAGTTCGCGTGCGGCCGCTTCCCCGAGCGCTGCGAGTCGTCGGTGGAAGAGCTGTTCAGCAAGGTGATCGAGGTGAACGCGGCGCCCGCGCTTCTGGAGATCGTGGACACCGTGGGCGCGGACCACCTGGTCACCCTCAAGGACCTATACATCAGGAACAGCGACGGCTTCGTGGTGCTCTACAGCGTGTGCAGCGAGGCCTCCTTCGAGGCGGTGCGGCCGCTGCGCGAGCGCATGGGCCGGCTGCGGGGGCCCAAGGCCGTGCCGCTGGTGCTGGTGGGCACCAAGGCCGACCTGGACGCTGAGCGCCAGGTGCTGACGGCGCAGGGCCGCGCGCTGGCCCGCGAGTGGCGCTGCCCGTTCCTGGAGGTCACGGCCAAGAGCAAGATGATGGTGGACCGCGTGTTCACGCAGGTGGTGCGCGAGATGGAGGCCCTGGCCCCGCCGGAGGAGGCGCCCCGCGTCCCGGTCAACGCCCATAATACGTGGCCGTCCGAGAGGTTCATCGGCTAGTGTGCCACCGTGATCTACCGCGTCGGTCGCGCTCCGTGACTTCTGAAGCTCAGTGTCGGTGCTCAGTGCCTTTTAAAAGAAAGCTCCCACGCCTAGACAAGTGTGTGCTTCTGCATACCAGCTCCGACAGCGCTCGGGCCGCCTGCCTGCCCAACCCTGGCCCAAACTGTGCCACTTTGTTTACCTCTGACTGCGCTACAAGAAGAAACCAAAAAAAGCTCATTTCCCCCTGTGTGGAGAAAATACCCTCTTTTCTTTCATTGGAATTTGTTATGGACTTGTGTTGTTGTGATTAGCACCCGGTTGATGTTTGCTTTGATTGAGGACGGCCACCTGAACTTTTACGTGGGCCGTTGCCGGAGGTTTTCTCGTGTTTCCTTCTCCTTCACAGCCTGGAATTGCAGCAGTAAGATTTTCCTCGGCGCTATTCTAAATATAGTTATGACATACACAACGTTGGTTTGAAAGGAGATATTGTTGGAGGGGGACAACTGCCCACACAAAGAGCTCAGAGCTGCCTGTTTGTAACTGGCATCTAATCGATTTCTGCCACTGAAAATTGGAAATAAAAAAAAAATGGCTTTAGAAGTTGATGGTTTTTAGAGTGTCTGTCTGACTTACCTGTAAATGTGTCATTCCTAAGGTTTCCACACACTGCTTCCAGTTATTCTCCAGGAAACAAGCTGGTGACTAGAGGGAAGGGTGTCCAGCTGGTAGGGAGTGTTTTGGCAGAAGTGCTTTGGGGAGCCAGTGTTGGCCAGGTTGAGATGTTTTGTCTGAATACCTGTATAGCTGAACGGGGACAGAGCTCCTGAAACAAGCTAACCAGCAAGGGTGGTTTTGTATAGTTTTCACATAATAACAGGAGATTTTTCTATTATATGATAAATGTTAAAAACTGACCTTTGAAATGAGTACTTTATATAAATTTGCACAAATTAACAATTTTACCTCCCTAGCTGCAACATATATATATTTTTTAACTTAGGAAGCCATCTTTAGTAATCTCCTAAAAAATAAATAAATAAACAAGGAAGCTCAAAACTATGCCTATGAACTGAAATAATTTGTTAAAGGAAAGTTATTTGTAAAGTGGTTATGAGGCTCTGTTTATTTGCATGATATGTGATTTTGGGGTGGTACTGGGGATTGAACCTAGGAGTGCTTTACCACTGAGCTACATCCCAGTTCTCCTTATTATTTTACTTTTGGGGGATGCTAGGAATCTAACCCAGGGTTACTTGCATGCCAGGCAAGCACTCTACCACTGAGCCACACCCCCAGCCCTGATATGTGGTATTTTAATAGAAGATAGACTTTTTCTTACTGCAAAGGTTATGTGTCAGAGCTTTACTGCAGATCCACTCCTGGGAATGCTGTCCAGGAGGGCAGTTCTCCCTCTCTTCCTCCCCTTCCTGAGATGGGGTAGGCAGAAGCTGCTGACTCCGCTTCCCTCCTGCACCCTAGATCAAGCCTGGCCACCTCCTGGTGGTGCTGTCAGTCACCTCTCTGAGGGGTTGTTTCAGAGGAGACGGAGGGTGAGGCATCAGTGAGGGGAGCACTTTCCAGGCCTGAGTCACTGCCACTGTCAAAGCTGCCCCTCCTGCTGAGGGGAGGGGTCAGGGAAAGCTGGCAGGGGAGTGGACAGCATTTTGTTCCCAGCCCTGAGAGCTGGCCCCATCCATGACTGGAAGCAGGGTGTCTGAGTGGGTTCCCCCCCTTCACACATACACACACCTCACTTTCTGACTCTCCATCTGCCTGTGCTGAAGCCTCCAGGGAAGGTTTGTGTCCCTGCGTCCCAGTTCCCATGGATATAAGGGCTCCATCCAGGGAAATATCCCCAGCGGCCATTTCTGCCTTTGGATCCCACTTGGATCCAAGTTTCCGACTGAGGGCTGTTTTTGGCTGAGCAGTCAACTGGATGAACGAGGGGGCCACGTGGCCAGCTCCTCCACCCTCAGGAGTGCCTTGGGAGCAGCTTTCTGGGCGTGTGCACACATGTACAGATCCACATAAAATTAAAGACCTGCAGTCGGGATTTCCCTTCTCTTCCTGTATTTCTAACTTCCTTGTGTTAGGCACCAGTCGCCTCAGTCCCTTCAGAGATGGGCCTAAGTGACTCCAGAGTGAATTTGCCAGGGGCTGCTTCCCTCCTGCAGGCACCCCGGTTGCTCTGGGTGGGGGAGGTGCCAGGACCTCCCAGTTCTTGGCGCTGGAGTCCCACAGGGATGTGTCAAGTGGATGAAGTTCCACTCTGTCCACGGCGGGCTGTTCCTCACCAGGGGCCCAGGCCGCAGGGAGTGGTGTTCAGGCCGACAAGATGCTGAGGATTCTTTGGGTGGGTTTAAAACACTTGCTTCCTGCTTCTTCCCAGCACCGTCAGTTGTGTGATCTGCCTCTTCTCTGCTGCTGGAGGTCTCCCTGTCTGTGTGCAGGGCAGGCCCTGAGAGGTCCACAGGGATTCCTGCCTGCTGGTCCCCACACCTGTTTAACCCTTTCCCTCGAGAGTGGGCTGGACCTAGTGGCCCTCTTTTAATACATGGGCAAAAAGGTGGGATGTCACTGACAAAAAGGCCCACCCAGCTCAGTGGCTCTGCAGAGGCTCCTGACCCGCAGGACCGGGAGACGACCTGTGCTTATGTTTTATACCAGCCTCGGCGGGACCTGCTTCTGGGCAGTGTGGAAGCTGAAGGCTGAAGTGCCCTGGAGGGACCTTGTTGTCCTGGAGCAACAAAGAAGCCGGGGATGTGTTACTGGAAACTGGAGGGGAAGGGATTCTGTACATGATGGCAGAAAGCACAGCCCAGCTGCCTCTGGACCTGTGGAAAGTCAAAAGTCCCTTGGAGATGGGCGACCCTCTAGGTCTCCCAGCAAGATGCTGAAGGCACCACTTGGTTCCCTCTCACTGCTTACAGTAAACATGCAAAAGAGAAATGAACAACAAGGCTGCTAAGTAATATTCCATTGTGTATAAATGCCACATTTTTTTTATCCGTTCATCTATGAAGGGCAATAAAATCATGGCATTTGCAGGTAAATGGATGGAATTAGAGGAGATAATGCTAAGTGAAGTTAGCCAATCCCCAAAAAACCAATGTTTTCTCTGATATAAGGAGGCTGATTCATAGGGAGGGGGAGTATGGGAGGAATAGATGAACTCTAGATAGGGCAGAGGGGTGGGAGGGGAAGGGAGAGGCATGGAGTTAGAAATGATGGTGGAATGTGATGGACATCATTACCAAAGTTCATGTATGAAGACAAATTGATGTGAATATATTTGTACACAACCAGAGATATGAAAAATTGTGCTCTATATGTGTAATATGAATTGTAATGCATTCTGCTGTCATATAAATTTTAAAAAATTAATAATAAAAAAAGAAGGTTGCTGAAAAGGGACCAGTACTTGGTGGGAATCTCAGTGTCTCCAAATGATGAAAGACACTACATTTAAAAAATGGCTTCCCAACAAATCCTGAACCCAGGAGAATTGGCCCACCGTGTAGGTGTAGCTGTGGGTATGACTGTAAAACCTCCTGTTGAGACATCAGAAAAGATCAAAGGTGATGCCCACAGTAATCCTCAGTCACACCAAAGGTTCTTTAAAAAGACCTTTAAAAAGATGGTGTGCCCCAATCAGCAGGGCCGGGGCTTTGCTGGAGCTTTGCTCCAGGCACGCCAGCAGGAGCCCAAGGTAGAGAAGGACTTATCCCAAAGGCTTCCTGTGTTTCTTTTCTCTAATGCTCAATGGAAATCACAGGGAGGCCACAGACTTTGCCCCCAGGACTGGGGTTTGAACCCAGGCTCTCTAATGCTGAGTCCAGTTCAAACTTGCAGTCCTACCACCTCAGCCATTTGGAGGCTGGGATTACAGTGGTGGGTCACCATGGTCTGGCCCACAGAGGTTTTGAAAGAATTATATCAGCACAGATACCACCAGTATGGACTTAAAAAGCAAAGCAGGGGATTGGGGCTGGGGCTCAGCAGTAGCACACTTGCCTGGCATGTGTAAGGCACTGGGTTCAATTCTCAGCACCACATATAAGTAAATAAAATAAAGGTCTATCAACAACTTTAAAAATATACATTTTTTTTAAAGTAGGGCAATACAAAATGAAAGGAGATGTTGGAAGGAAGTAGCCTGAGAAACTGTGAGACCACAAAGTGTGCTCTCTTCCATAAAAAATAAATAAGAAATTAAAAAAAAAAAAAAGAGATTCGGGGGCCAGGTACGGTGATGTACACCTGTGATCCAATGACTCTGACACAGATTCCAGGCCAGCCTCAGCAACTTAGTGAGCCCCTGTCTCAAAAAAAAAAAAATTCAGGGAACAGAGTCAAGAGCTCAGAGGGTGGG